GAGCTTCGCCATATCTTGACGAAAATCATCATTCGCCTTCAAGCTGTTTGCATAATACCTGCAGAATGAAAAAAATAATTAGCCAGCACACCAACTGCCAGTGCGAAAATGCGTTTGTTACACAGTTCCTCGCAAGTTTTTGTCGCTGAAGGCATTGTTTTTTTTTCCCCAGCAGATGCTTCTAGACAAAAGAATTTAGAACTAGCCATCACAATCTTCAGAAAACATCCCCTTAAAATTTCAGCTTTCTAGCTTTTATGGTCCCCGAGTTATCAGCTTACTCGCCAAAAACTTTGACGGCCCTGTACTTGGGAGCCACGTGGGCAAGAGCATCCATTTTGAAGATAATGGCTTGTAAATCCGTGTAGATTAAGTTCCCAAAGTTTCAGCCTTGTAAATCTATGGGAAATCTTTACAGACGAACACACAGACACGCATACACGCATACAAATAGACAATTCCTCGATAACATGGATTTTGCATTGCATAGATGCAAAAAACGTATAAAAACGGTAACAAAAGCCACAAAAATAGCGTATTTAGTCGCACAAAAACCAGTGCAATAAAAAAACTTACGAATTTTGATTGCGAACAAGTTCCATGAAATGACGCAACAGCTGCGGTCCACGGCGATATTCCACCGTATCAACGGCCATAAAGAACTAAATTGAACAAAAACCGATTGCAGGAAGCCCCCAAACATCATGAAAAATGCATTTTGTCTATACACATACAAATATACACAAAAACACAAATGTACAGATACAAACATTTCACACATACACACAGACAAACACTCACATATGTGCACACGCCAAAAAAAAAAACACAGACATGATAACAAGTATAAAGATACATGAGCAGATACACATCCATCCACCCACTTACCCACACACGCCTACCTACCCACACGCACACCCACTCACCCACACGCACCCACTAACACACCCACCCACTCGCACACCTACTCGCGCACACACACCCACTTGCCCACGCATACACCCACCCACCATCTTCCCACACACCTACTACATACACCCACACACATATATATACAGACAAATAAAAATACACATATATATATTTAGTTATTCAAGTTTTCACAAAACTGGATTTGCAATCAGCCAACCTTGCACAGCTCGTACTGCACCATCAACCGCTCTCTCGTTAACTGCTCAG